AATAATGGCTGCTTGCAATGTCCTATTACCTGTTTCACAATTAGTCTTAGTGAGATAGTTGTGTGCGCGCCTCTCTATGACTGTTTTGTCCACCCCGACCTTTATATGTTTGTAGTTTTTGGCTTGCGATAGGGTGTGTTGGGAGTGGATGAATTTTCTTGTCTCTGCCGGTGTTTCGAACTGAAAACGAATAGGACAACACTTTTCATGTTGACTCTTCTTCAGCCTATAGCACTTAGTCTTGGAGTTAGGCATTTTCGCTTCACTAAGTAAGATGCGCTGTACCTTTTTTAGTGCCTCATTGTCCGGAACGTTGTAGACAATAGCACTCAGTTTTGCGTCGAGTCGTTTTGTTACTTCTGTGGTAACAAAATTAATGAGGTTATCTACCCTAGTTACCGATTCTGTGTCAAGCTTGTTAAGATTTACAGTTTTCATGAGGATAGTTAGAGGTGTCAATTCACAGACCTGCGATCTGATATCGCTGATCTGATCTGATAGTTTGGATATCTCGGTATCGGTTTCGATGTTTCCAGCATTTACTGACTTACTGTTTTTTATTTCCCTTAACTCAGCCTTAAGTTCACCTATAGACAACTTTAGAAGTTCTATTTCTGAAGATAGTGCTGAAGAAGAGCTTGATGGCTGGAGTTTTTCGATAAGCACATAAGGTGAAGGGAGGGGTTCTGTATGAGCAGAGGGTACTGAATTTTTAGGAGTAGTGCTAATACTAGCTGTCAGTACAGTTTTATCCTCAGTTCCAGCTCGACGCTTACGGCTTACAAGTGAGTTATGTGACTCATTATAGCCGTTTGTAGGGGGTGTGTTGCTTGATGTAGCTATCAAGGACGTTATATTAGACACCAGTTTTACAGGGGAATGGGTTCGTCGCTTTTTACTTTGATTAACCATAACTATTAGAAATGAAAGTTAATGGTTGCAAGTATGGAAGTGGTATAGTACTTGTGCAAGTATTACAACAAGATAAATTTTATGTAACGAATCACGTAAAAATGTAACGCAAACGTTGAACGTACCGCGATACTGAGGTGATTTCATTACTTCTATAATTCTTTATTTCCACAATGAAACCACTAGACTGCTTCAGTAACAAATAAAGACTGATCTTAAGATTTGTGGCCCAGCGGATAGCTAGCTGGACTTGCACGTAACACTGCTTCTGGTGGTGTTGGGACTAACGGAAGTTTCCCGGTGCATTGTTCTCAAACGTGGACACTATGCCATTCGTGAAAATCTTCAGATCTAATTTCAGTGATCACTTAACAGTATTCCGGAAAGTATCTGGCAAAACTGTTCACACCAAAGTCCAGGGTCGATAACTCTCATCAGGAAGCGAGAACAAAAGGAAAAATTTGACTAACACCGGTTCGCAAGAGGGAATATGAATATGCTTTGATTTTCATCATTGACCTGTCATGCCGTCTAAAGTCTCTGACTCTTTACTCTGAGGATGGAAAGATTTGGAGGGTAACAGGGCCCATGGACGACTCAGATGAACTCCGGGCAGACCTGAAAATTCCAGAGGATTGGGCAGTGGTCATTGGTATAGCTTCCAGCCTGAGAAAGTGCGAGGTACCACAATTATATACCTGTACGCCGCAGAGTGTGATCGTAGTGTCAGGTTGTCCTGTGTAACATCAGAGTGCGGCTTACCCGGGTGGTGTAGCGATGGCATATGTGGTTATATACTTTACTTACTGACAGCTAAATGGGATTATACGGAGTGAAAAAAATCTTCCATCTAAGTGAATCAGTGATTTTACTCATAACGGGCAATCAGTGAATCTGTTCTAACTTAATCAAATTTCAAGTAATTGGGTCTAAAGTGACAAGAGGTGGTCGTCTAGTTGTGATGTGGTTGTGTGTCTTGATTATTATTATTATATCCTTTAATTCCTAGAGGAACATAGGGCTTCAGCCGAACGTCTCCATTGGGTTCGGTTCTCTACTACAGTTTTCACCTGGCTCCAAGTCTGTCCACATGCTTTCACCTCCTCCTCACATGACCTCCTCCAAGTCATCCTTGCACTGACGACCAACTCGCCGCCGCTTCCCATTCAGTCGGGTTCCACTCGAGCGACGGCTTGTCTAGTGATGTCACTCACGTGGCCAGCCAATCCATCTCCGTTTCTTCCTGCCTATTTGTTTCACAATCGGTTCCTGATTGGTTTGCTCATTGCCAGAGATCCCACCCTGTTGCTGATCTTTTCTGGCCGGCCATCTGATCTTGAGTATTGAGCGAAGACAACTGTTAATGAAGGTCTGAAGTTTGTTTGAGGTGCTCTTTACGACGCGCAGCGCAAGTCTCCGATCCGTATAATAGTACTGACTGGCTTCACTTTTGAGTTGAAAATCCGGATGTTATTTTTGATGCTGAGTGCTGTTGACCTCCACACAGACTTGAGAGTAATGAAAGCTTGTCTTGCTTTCCCGATCCTTGCTTTGACATACTCGTCAGCTCCGTCCATATGTAGTTGAAACGATGCTTCCCAGGTCGGCAGGTAGGTGAAGGAGGTTGTTTCTTTCAGGTTCCTCCCATTTATTCTGGCTGATTGTTATCTGTTGTCTGTTGTTGTTACTGTTGTTGTTGTTGGTATTGGCCAGGAATCTTCATCACCTGGGTCTGTTTTCTCTATGTTCACTTGAAGGAAGTCCTATCTTCTGTGGAAGCTTGTTCTGCCAATTTGTTGCTTTTGACTTGCATATCTTCCAGTTTGTGGGAAATCAGACATATACACCACATCGGGGAAGTCCAGATCCCGCAAGTTCTTTTTTGTGTGGATGCATTTTATGTATGCTTCCTCATTTCCCGTTGTCTGTCGCATTATCCAGTCCACTGCAATCAGGAAAATCATTGGCGATAGTAGGCAGCCTTGCCTCGCTCCCGTCCTTACGTAGAAGGCTTGCGTAAATTTCCCCTTGTGGATTACTTGTCATGCATCACTGCCGTATAACTGTTGGATGAGATGTATAATTGTCGATGGGACCCCTTGGTAGTAGCGAAGCAGTTGCCAAATCACCTCTCGATTGACGCTGTCGAAGGCCTTTTCAAAGTCGAGGAAGTTCAGATAGAGAGGTGGCTGCCATTCGAAGCTTTGTTTAATGATGATCCGTAGAGTGGCAATTTGATCAATACATGAATTGTTTCTCCTGAATCCAGCTTCTTCCGGTCGAAGTTTTTCAACCAGTTTGGTTTGTTTGATTCTCTCCAGGATGATGTGGCTTAAGTATTTTGCTTGGGATGGACAGGAGCATAATTCCGCGCCATTTCTTGCAATGACTTAAGTCTCCTTTATTTGGTAGTTTGAATAAGTATCCTTTCTTCTAATCCTCGGGTACCTTGCCCTCTTTCCACACCTTCTCCAGAAGTGAAGCCATCAACTTCTCTGTTGTCTCTGGGTCCATTTTCAATGCTTCTGCTGCTTTTCCAGCTTTTAGCATCTTGATTGCCTTCAGGACTTCTGATTGTGTACCTTGATACTTTCTTCATATTATCGTTTATAAGTACGCCTATGAGCAGCCGCAAGTGTTACCTTTATAACTTCATTAGCTGAGGAGGTGTTGAAAACAGCAAGAGGTGTGGTCAAAGAGCACGCCAGGTAGAGTAGATGGACTTTCAATGTCCACGTCTTACTGCACTGGACCTCACGCTGTCCTTGGAAGACTATCAGAAACTATGCGTAATAACTGAAACGGAACACCAGAATGCAGATTGGTGACTCAAGAACCGTTTATTCTTGCACCAATGCAGAGCCAACCACTAGGTTATTGTACACAAAGTTTCTGATAGTTTTCTCTCTTCCAACGAACAGCGAACGATGAGACGATGACTGCCGTATTGAGGACTCTCGAGAAAAACAACCATGAATTGGTCATTCAATCTTCAACTACATTGACATGGACACACAACAATCATGAGAGCTAGTTCTAGCTGAAGCCACCCGGGAATGACCTCCAAGTCTTTCCATTAGTATAACTAACTGCTTTCCTAGACAATTACTTCAAGGCCTTTTCCAAGAATTTACACAACATACGTAAGACGATGCCTTGAATTGCATAATAGCATTGCTGCCGTCAGAAGAGATACCAGTCTTTTGGAAAGAGTCCAAAAGGGTGATGGGTCCTCGAGATAAACTACAGGATGAACAGCTGAAGAGATGAGATCTATTCGCTTTCAGCTGCAGTTGGCTTAGGAATGGTGCAGTTGCTGACTATAAAATTATAGAAGACCAGAATCAGCCGAACAAAGTTATTCTGCCATTAAGTAAGCATATGTTTCCAAGCAGCAACGCACAGAGGATAACTCATCATAGGACGAGTACTCGGGTGGTATCCTATTTCCTTCCTCTTCAGGCCTGCTACTTCTGGGACACTTTAACAGGAGTTGTGGCTACTGCACTGTTCATGAAAAGCTTTGGGCGGAGGCTGGACAATTAGCAGAGGTACAACGGCTGCATCCGAATGACTTATACCCACAGAACTCAAAGTGCCACACATCGAGACTCGTCTTATGCTACCGTTTACTCTCTATCCTATCATTCTTCCGACTGCTCCATCCATTCACTCACTCATTTTAGTACATACAATTTCAAATTTCAATATCTGTTTAAGTCTTTCTTTTACAGTCTACGTAATCTACAGCAGTTATAGTTATTATTACGGTTTAATACTGCTACCTCCTTTCTTGGAAACACGAAGTGACTAACGGGAAAAAAGATCAAGTCCATTCACAGCAGCAACATGTCTGTAGCACATCGCATACTGCAAAGCACATAATCAATCCAAATACTACTCTCATTGGAATCAACAGGAGGTGTGGAGGTCAAGTAGAAGGGCACACTACGCAGAAGTTTACTGAAGGTTGGGGGCCTCTGTTTTATAACCGAGGGGCAATCAAAAAATTGGTTTAAACTACCTCGTAAAAATGATACTGGATTGGATATTGAAATATCGGCGCTACTCTTAAACACTAAGTAACTATGGGGCTGAAGGGTTTACTGGTAGTTGTCTTGGTGGTAGTGCTATTGTACGGTAAGATATGCATTGAATCATCACCTTCTGCTTTCGTTTTGTTGTTTGAACATTGTAAGTAATTTAATCACTTATTCAACTTTTTCTAATTTGGTATATGTAGTGTGTGTGCTGTTTATAAGTTTTATCATCAATATATCGTTAAGAATTGTCACGAATTTTCCTCAGCAGATTGTTTATATTTTTGCTTATTTAGCATCCTTTACCCCTGATAATTCGATAATTCCACTGCCTTTGTACAAAGACGTCTTTATTCAAATGACATAGTTATAATGCATTATCCATAAAATATTTAATAAGAATGTTGCAAACAAGTATTTTGGAAGTTTGATGTTTACTGACCAATGTAAGGTTAGGTTTCTATTACTTTATGCAACAGATGGTGGGAGTTTATAAAGTAGGAGGTGTGATGTTGAAATATAATCTATGTGCCGAATCGTATGTATTGCGAAATGATTGTAGTGTGTGTAAATCATATCAGAAACTTTCGGGCAGAAAACATTCAGTAGCCATCCTATTTTCTAGCTCACTTTAGACGCCAGATAGTACAGGAGTTTGCGCGTTTATCTCAATGACTTCTTGAGTTTGGACCTAATTCTGCTTGTAAACTGAGTAGAGGTGTAAGAAATCTCTTAGCACAACAAATTTGGTGTAAAGCATAAGTTCGTCTGGTTTCCGGAAATTAAGGGGCGTTGAAATCAAAGAGAACTTCGAACAAGCATGTGCGAATCTACGAGGTTCGCTCAACTTGCTGTGTACCCGACCCTCTTGCTACTTAGCAGTGTGTGCACTTTAAGCAATTAATCTGTATATCAACAGACTGTTGTCAATCGTTTAAAGTCAAACGAATAGTTATTTTTTGGGCTTTTGTGTTTCGAAAGACCACGTCTGGCGGTATCCGTAGTGATATATGTATGTACAAAGTTTGTCAGTATTTTGCGTCTTTCACTTGCTGATATCTTTAATGCATTATTTTAATATATTAAGATTCTGTCTACACTCTGGTTTTTGCCTTTTTAAGCTAGCCTCAAATTTTTATCTGCATTCACCATCTCTCCATTTAGGAACAATCGAAATATTCCTGTCTTTATACTAATTAAGTATTCCTCTTAAAGTTGAAAAAGCTGATGCTTTAGTGTGTAAATATTACAGTCGTGAATCTCCTTCACTAGGGAAAGTTGAGGGTAAATGACAGACACTAGTTGACCAAAAACTCCAAACACTGTTTTCAATCTACTGAAATCATATTAAGTTGATAAAACCTGTTATCACCTTTGTTTGAAGTGCATTAGCGGACGTAAAAACGGCTTGTGCTGCTGATGTGAAGTTATCTAATATTAACACGGGAATTGCTGCATTGGTTCAGGTGCTTGACTTCCAGCTACACGGTTCCCCATCTGAGGTTTGGACAGGCAAGTAGAGTCATTGACTCACACAATAAGTGGGGCTTATGACCAACTGTATGACAGTGTTGGTGGTTTCATTTGGAAATTTCAGTACTAATATTATAACGATCACATTGCATCATTTCCAAAACTCCATTATTTGGGATTATCTCACGAAATTTCTTTCATTTCTGTGAGTCATCCAATCATTGTAGCTCTGTAAAGGTTTTATTTGTTAACTCAATAAAGCTATGTGTTATAATATACTGAGGTAGACTTTTCCTTTTAATTCCGATGTTGATTTACTCTCCACTTCGATGATTGTTTGTCCTTTGTGCTTTGTTACTTTCAAGAACCTGAAAGTTCCTGTTTACATACTACTGTAATCTGAAACGTACTTGTTAGCGTCAAGGGCATTTATTAGTCAGTATTGCTATTGGTAATGTCGATTTGCCTCGAAAGCCAATTATTTTACCTTTTTGGTTATCTTTGCATAGTTATTAAATCTAATCAGGATATAATTGTAACCGAAAAAGAAAACTGATATGCCATTTGTCGGTTTATTGAAATCACACAAAGTAACTTAGTTACTACTTTACTAGATTACATCAATGTCCTTTTCATTTTTTTATGATTGATTTATTGGTTATAGTCACTCCGTCTAACTTTGACTATAGCTCGGTTCTCTTAAAGCAAAATCGTACTGTTGCTCTTCTACTTTCTACATCGTTGTATGGGGCAAGGTCTAGATTATAGATACACTGACAAAAATAATGACTTACGATAACAACTTCGTCATTTTTTAGACTTTCTATTCTGGTTCTAACTTTCTCTGTCTGGACTAAAGCTCGTAGACGTAGCTATTTAGTAATGATTTCACTTTTCAGACATCGAATGTTGAAAATGCGATGATTTTCATATCTTGCTTCAGTTCGCGAAAGTTGCGTGAGTTTACTGATTAGTCTTCTAACAGGAAGACCTTAAGTCATATTAATATATGTGTAAAACATGGGCACTGTGGGGACCAAGTGATGCAGGCTCGAATTTCCCATGAATGCAAATTTTCCTCATGGTTGATGTCGATAAGTTGCAAAAAGCATACAACTTAGGTTTGAATTCTCTCCTGGATTGCCTCATAACACCTAAAAATCAGTGCTTTTTGTCTCAGCTGAGTAGTGTAGTGGCTTTAATCCGCACTTTTCATTTTTCTGTTTTTGGTATGTTGCTGTTTTCTGGCATATTTATTATGGATATCATTAAAACTGACGACTAATATCAAACTAGCATGACTAGCAGTTGTATTTCTGTAGTCTCGTCTACTTAATAATGTCTGGGAATATATATTAAGCGGTAGGATCGATAGTTCTCAAATTTTACGTATAAGATTACAAGTGAAAATCGAGGACTATTTACTGTTGCATATTAATTTTTACTGCATCTTGATGTACAGACAAGTGTCTTTTGATTAGTAAGTGTTTCATTAAGAAAACATCTCAATTCTTAAAGACAGTACACATGATATTGAACAAGAGTGTTATTTGACTCTTTTAGCTTTATAAAAATAGGTCACTTTTGTTTGGAAAAACATTTCTTAAGAGTGGGATTATTAATAATCAAGACAGTTTGCTATTGGGTCTTAGTTGTAGGAAATATTAAAGTACGTTCCACTTGCCAATATTGTGTCCGTTTTCATTAAAACACGTCTTCTTTCCGTTTAACCGGTGAATTAAATGCCAATACATACAAATGCACCTCTTGTAGAAAAACAATACATAAGTTATAAGACACATCAGACTAAATTAATAATAGTATTTCGTAATTTTTGAGATATTTGTTTTACGTTTTACCAGGGGATTAAGTCTGTCTTCTTTGTGGTCTGTGATTGGTCACCCTTGATGACCTTTTCAGATAATATACCGTTAATTTTTAACATGACTATTATTCTTTTCATAAATGCTCCACATACCGCTGTATTGTTGGCTATGATTTTTTAGATGAAGTACTTGCTAAATCCAAATCCAGTCGCGTCTGGAGTAGCAGTCGTGGGGGCAATGTCAAACCGTTTTCACGTTCGAAACCAAAGTATCATCATTCATCAAGGTCAAGTATGTTTTCACGTCGAAGTGGGCTGTAAGTTAGCTTTCAGTTTTTCTTTCCATTTTCATCACTTCGAAGTGTTTGCACTATATAATTTTCTGGTAAATAAGATTTAAAATAGACTCATTGATGTACTTTTGTTTATCTGTCAAGCGATCTTTGGACATTGTGGTTGCAGTTTAGTGATTTTGCCATAAAAGTAACGTTTAAATGCCAGTCCATATTATCTAGTATTGATTCATACTTGATTCTGTACATTCTTATCTGAATTCGCTTTTTGAAGCCTTTTTTAAGTAGTTAGAATTGTGTATCATATAAATTACTAAAATTGACGACCTTAATCTAACTATACGATAAGTTAACATTCATACAAGAATTGTTTGAATCAAGTCCCAATTATTCGCAATGTACAGTTATATATTTGTATTTTTAGCATGTGGCAAACTGTTTTTTAAAGCTATTATCATTATTCCTTTGGGTTCCGAGTAGAACATAGGGCTTCAACAACACATCTCCGCTTTCTTTCATTTTCTGCCGTTCTCTTCAGCTGGTTGACCCAACAATCGCCCATAATCACTCATCTCCTCCTTGCCACACGATCTCATCTATGTCCACCTCACATTGACGATCCACTAGTCGCTTCCCAACGGGATTCCACTCGAGCGGTGGCCTGCATTGTGCGCGATGTCATTCGAAGGCCTCCTCAGTGTGGACCCAGTCCATCTCCATTTTCTCCTACATATTTGTTGAGCAGTCGCCTCTTGCCTGTTGGTTTGTTCTCCGACAGCCAAAGTTTCTTGCTGCTGATTCTTTCAGGCCATTCGATCTTCAACAAAGAGTCAGCGAAGGTAGTTGTTGACTAAAGTCTGTAACTTGTTGGAAATGCTTCTCTTGACTCTTAGACCAAATTTTTGACCCGTATAGAAGAACTGACTGACTTAACATTGGTGTTGAACCGAATCCGAATCTTGTTGTTTATTTTAGGGTGGAGTGCAGAAGATTTCCGAATTGGTTTAAGGTTGATGAAGGCATGTGTATCTTGCCTTTCCAATTCTGGTTGGCTGGTTTTGACATTTTCGTGCGTTCTGAATTCCCGTAGTTGAAATGATGGTTCCTAAATAAGTGAAGTAGGTAACCTCTGTTAAATCTCTCCCGTTGATCGTGATTGGTGCTAGTTGTTGTTGTTGCTGTTGTTGGTGGTTGGTTATCTTCATCATCTCCGTCTTCTCTATGTTCAACTGAAATCTCTTCTTCGCTGCCTGCCAGCATCTTCTGGTATTTCGCTGGTTTTCGTCTGCAATTCTTCGATTTTGTGTGACATTAAACATAAATCATCCACTTGAGAAATCCAGATCTTCTAGAGTCTTCTTATCAGTCAGTGCAGCATATTTCTGTCTTCTCACTCCACAATGACAGTCTGACGCATAATCCAATCCACCGCGATTACGACTATCGTCCGTGATAATAGGCGGCAGTCTTGTCTTACTTCTGTATTCACTTCGAAGGCAGACGGCACTGAGTTCTTCATTGTCGATCACCTGACACGTACCATTGTCATACAGCTGTGATTAAATGAGGTTGGTAAATATTTTTGGCACTCCACAGTGTTGAAGCAGTTCCCAAATTATTTCTCGGTAATGTCAACGCTGTCTGTCAAAGGCCTTTCCGAAGTCGATAAAGTTAAGGTGCAGGTTTGACTACCATTCTATGCCTTGTTTGATGATGGTGATGATGCGTAGAGTCACAATTTGATAAGCACATGATTTTCCGGTAGACCTATCAGTCAATGTTTGTTTCAGTGGGGTGGCTAAACTGAATTGTTGTGCTGTTTCTTGCAGCCGAATTTCCATTCTTTGTAAAGATGTTATTAGAGAGTGACATTTTCGACAAGCAAGTTCTCATAAATTGTAATCAACTCACACAGACCAAATCCTGCATTACAACAGCAACAATTCAATAACGCACAAAGGGAATTGCATACAAACACTATTCAAGAGGGCAAGGACTCATTGCAGCACGTCCACCTTCAGGAAAATTGAAGAAAGACATCTCAGACGTCTTCCAAAAGAATGGATATCCACGGGATTCTATCAAAAGACATATACCCCCAAGCCAACCTATAATAATAATAATAATTTTTTATAATTAATATTAATTTTTACGTTATGCGATCAGATCAAAGGCCACCAAGGAAAGCTCAAGGAAAATCTCTCTACCATATATAAAGAACATCTCAGAAATCACCGAAAGACTCTTCAAACCTTTCAGGAATAGACGTCTCACACAAACCAACAAAATCACTTCACTCAGCCAGCTCTATGTCAACCAAAAGATTCAACAACGAAAGAAAATAAAACCAACATCGTATACGAAATAAATTGTAACAATTGAGAAAAACACTACATTGGCCAAAGGCGACGTACCCTTCGAATCCATAAACATAAGCTAGCTGTCAAAAGACATGACATCTACTCCCTCATATCACTACAACCACTGACATCGAGTCGACTGGGACAACGTTCAAATACTAGACAGAGGAAACACCAATAATGCTAGGAAATTTTTAGAAGCCTGGTATTCCAGTGAATCATCAATCAATAGACACATCGACATAGAGACAAAATTTACCAATCGATATGAAGGAAATCTCATACACAAAGGGTCAAGGTTCAAGTCAAAGAAACAATCAGTTCCAATACAAGTAGCCTAGAGGATGTGAAAACACACAAAAGCCACTAATCACATCCAAGGACACTAGGAGAGATGACTAATAAACTACTCGTGGAGGAATGTAAAAGCTGACTTCAAATTGAATTGTCGCCTAGTAGGGCGATGAAAGCTTCGCAAATTCACTATCCAGCTCAGAGAACACAACTACATCAAAATCATCCACCTGAGCTACTAATCTCCTCTATCATATCTGAATCAGTCATGCATAGACAATAATAATAATAGTCCTGGTACAATTTTGGAGTTTGGAAGACTAAAGAAAACCAAGTATGAAAGGATCATTTGCTGCAAATGTTTTTGTACCTGCTATGCTCAAAATTATCAAGGAAAAAACTTTGCCTGTTTGAAAAGCCAGGGAACAAACTACTTCACGAAGCGCCGAGTGGATTGGTCACATCTCCACCTGAATCAAGTGCCTAAGCACCACCAAATGTACTGACTGGTTTCAACATAGAACTTTGCACCGACATGTAGCGGTTCCAGTTGCTACACTGCACCCACCACACAAAGCCAGCGAGGAAACCAAAAAGAAACGCAAAATAGAGACAGTAAACAGAGATATGAGGCAAAAGGAGTAGTAATATCGAAGAACCATATAATTTTATTGGATTTTATAAGTCACAAGGAATGGATGTATCTGCGCCAGAAGTTGAGAACGATCACTTTGAGCCATATTACCAATTGTGTCTCCAGCCTCCATTGGCTTTTACCACCCCGAGGACCCCAACTAGTCAGGAAGTCGATACCTTCCTACGTGGCTGGCTGGCTTAAACTAACTGTTGTGGGTTTCATTGATTGATAAAGCCATGTTTTGGTTTGACCACCACTGGCTAGCTCTTTTCCAACCTGACTCTATGTCAGTCAGCTAAGATTGACCGTAGTCGAGGATGGCTAGGCATACGCAACACATATCTTAACCATCTTTCTCAGTCGATATAGCTTCACAGCCTCGTCTATTGATTTCCCCTCACCTCCTTACCTAGCACTCGACCGAAGCCTAACCTCGATATTGCTCACATTGTTATACCATTTCACACGGGAGATAGACCGCAGGCACCTATGATCAAACACATGTAGCCAGCCTTTTCATGTCTTCCACTTCTAATGACCAGGTCTCACAGCCAGTCACAAAGGAGGACGGAGCGGACTGCCGAGCAGTACACACGTTATTTGGTAGACAACCAGCCGGATATCACATCTACTAAGCCAGAAACGGTGTAAACTGGCATATGCGAAACGAGCCTTCTGTATCCGTGCAGGGATTTCGTCATTGACCAACCGGTTGGCACTGGCTGATCCAACTTCCCAAATAAGTGAAATTGTCAACGTGCACTACCATTTCACTCTCTATTTCTAAGCCAGGAGTCAATGTAGTACAGTTCTGTAGCATCATCTTACATTTGGTCGGAGTGAAGCGCACGCCATAAAATGTACAATGGACTAAAAAAAACGTAATATACGGGCTACCTCCATTTCTGTAAACAGAATTGCTTTTTGCAAAGGATATCTGTGATCAGTTTGTCAATATGCTTAGCGAATATTACCTCGTGGAGATTAGGAGTATACAAACACGTATGTTTACATTCTAAGAGGAGAGAAGTAAAGTTGAACAAAGTCTCACAAATTGAACGCACTTCATTTTCGCCATCCACGATACTGCAACTACTTTTACCTGAATAGATAAGTAAGTAAATAGCAATACCGATAAGGAGTATGATCGAACTAAGATTTTGTGATGCATACGCACATTTTATTTTAGAAATCTGGCCCTACACTATTCAGTTGTTTATTTACAGTGTGTGTCCGTGGCATAGTCGTTAAAACTCTCGCCGATCATGCACATGGTCCGAGGTTCGATCCCCTACCAACGCATACCTGATATCAATGGTCGGCCTGCACAATTTGGGCTACGGATATCTGTTATGTACTCGTCGCTAAATTATTATTATGGACTGGTCGAGAAACTAATATTCCTGACGCGAGAAGGCGGAAATCAGAAGACCACTAGGTTTGCGATGATACTTCTATTGTCCAAACACAAGGCGACGAAAATAAATGGTCTCACACCAAAGTGATAAGTAAGTAAAGTAGTTCACACAGAATGTGGGAACGAAATATATATATAACAATATATATATAGCAGACATGTCAAACAACCATATATGGATATATGTCACTAAGCAACGGACTGTCAACAAACACTCATATTATATGTAATATAAATGGAATATACATTGATAAAGGAGACAAGTTCATACAAGTGAAATGGTCACAGACTAAGCGAGCAAATAGAAAGAGAGACCAACATACACACACATAAATATATATATGTGGATACATATCAATATCACATGCTGAAAATTCCATACCTGTACCAAAAATGCGGTGTGGAATCAAGCTGTAATCAAAATAAAATGCATCTAATAGTTTACTGCTAACATAAAGTGGCAGAAAGTTCACTTCAGTCAATGAAATGCACAACAGTTAGTTTAAGCCAGCCAGCCACGTAGGAAGGTATCGACTTCCTGACTAGTTGGGGTCCTCGGGATGGTAAAAACTAATGGAGGCTGGAGACGCAATTGGTGATATGGCTCAAAGTGATCGTTCTCACTGTTTCAGATGCATTCACCCTTTGCGATTTATCATATTCAGTAAATATCTACTGTTCTTCTATATTATTGTTTTGTTTCCTTTCCCACTTCTGTTTATTATCTGTCTTTTGAATCTCTGTTTACTCCCTTCTCTTGCTCTATGTGATACAAGGAGGAAGTGTGGCAACTTCAGCTGCTTCACATTTGTGCGCGAAGCTCTACACTGAAACTAGTCAATCAGTCGGTTCACTTCTGACATACTTTCTACGGTTTTCACGGTTGTTTGTCTCGCATGAATAACACACTACCGATGTCTTTTTCAATCGATTCTTCGCTAAGTTTAAACCGTTGACAGACACTGATTTCTTCGTTATTACTTTCGTTTTTTTTATGAATCGTTTGCTCTCACAGTCATTAAAAAGACTGTAAACCAGTTGATGACCATTCGTTGTACCACTTTTATCAGGACAAACTGAATGTTAACACCCAGCTTTATCATGATGAAAACCATTGTAATTTTCTTACAAAATTGTATTTACCTTCTGTCTAAATGCAGGTGTAATAGACTGCATAAGGACTTTGAGTATTCCTACTAACTTTCCACATTCAAGCTCAGGTAGATATTATTATATTATTATTGCTGTCTTGGGTTCCTAGTGGAACATAGGGCTTCAACCGCACCTCTCCACTTGCTTCTGTCTTCTGCTGTACTTTTCACCTGCATCCATGTTATTCCATACTGTTTCAACTCCTCACCTCTTTACACACACGATATCCTCGATGTCACCCTTCCACTGACGTCCCACTCGCCGCGTGCTTCCCTTTCGGCCTGGTTCCACTCGAAGAATGACCTGACGCGTGCGCGATGTCACCCACCGGCCTCCTCACCGAGTGTCCATCTCCATCCATCTCTACTTTCTCCTGCATATTTGTTGGTTGGCGATTGGTCCTTGTTTTGTTTAGTGTGTTCCCATAGTTTCTTGTTGATGATTGTTTCTGGGCCGGCCGTCTGATCTTCAGTATAGAGCCAGCGAAGACAGTTGGTTGTTGATAAAGGTGTGCAACAGGCTGTTGGAAATATTCTTTGTGACCCGCTCGCTAAGTTTCTGATCCGTATAGAAGAACTGACTGACTTGACGTTTGTATTGAAAATCCGAGAGAATTTTGTTGTTGATGCTGGCTGAGTGACGAAGATTTCCAGATTGGTTTGAGGTTGATGAATGAATGTGTTTCTCGCCCTTCTCCCCGATTCTCGCTCGATTTGACATCCTCGTCCGTTGTGACTGCCTGTAGTTGAGACAATGCTCCCTAGATAAGTGAGTGAATGAAGTGACCTCTTTGAATTCCCTCCCGTCGATGGTGATTGACGCTGGATGTTTCTGTTGTTGTTGGTGGTGGTGGTTCGTTGGCAATTTTCATAACCTCCGTCTTGTTCACCTATGTTCACCTGGAGTCGTGTCTTCGCCGGCTGCTTCTCCGGCTAGTTTGTCGGTTTTCGCTTGTAAGTCTTCGATTTTGTGTGTGTGACATCAAACATAAATCATCCACGCGCGGAATCAAGGTCTTCTATGTTCTTCACGTCGTCCAGGATATCCGTGTCATCTCGTTTTTCACTGTCTGACGCCTAATCCAGTCCACCACCACAATTAGGAATATCATTGGTGATAGATAATAAGCACCCTTGTCTGACTCCTGTGTTTACTCCGAATGCCTGGCTGAGTTTTTTGTTGTGGATCAGTTGACATGTGCCGTTGTTGTCGTACAGCTGTTGAATAAGGTTGATGAATATTTGAATATATATACGCCGTAGTACTCGAGTAGTTTTCAAATTGCTCCGCGGTCAACGCTGTCTGTCGAAGGCCTTCTTAAAGTGTATAAAGTTGAGGTAGAGGTTTTATTGTGAATCCATGCTTTGTTGTGTGATGATGATGCGTAGAGTTGGAATTTGGTCAGAACATGATTTGCCTTTTCAGGTAGATATGCGCACAATCAAAGTCCAAGAGTAAAATGAACTAGAACTTTCCCTGTATACAGATTATAACAATACTACTCTTGTTCAGCTTTGGTGTGAGACAGCCCCTTGTCTTTGTTTTACAGTTAAAACGGAACAGAAACAAGTGATTGGCTGTTAAAAACCATGAGATTGCGTAGACATATCTCATTCGTCTATCCCATTGTCTCAGCTACCTTATTTAAGTACTGAATTCACTCCTCTCAAATGTCTGTGTTTCAATTTTCTACCTTTCCTTGGAAATCTCGGAGTTCTTGATAAAATCCGCTTTTCTCATGCTGTCAGTAGTCGGTGCTTAGGCATGTACTATAAATTAACATCGATGAGTATCCTGGGTCCTTCTTTGTTTTTACAAGCTGTTTTAGTCTATGACTTTATGGCAAAACTCGATGCTATATTCACACCAAAAGTCAACGAAGAGGTAGGTAGTCATATGGTCAGTCAGAACTTATCAAGTGCATTCCACAGATTTACTCTAGTGATCTCATTGGACATCAAGTGATTGTGTGCGTGTGTGTGTGAGAATCACCCTGTTCATCAATAGAATGCGATCAACGTACAAGTGGTTCGAAAATGTGATTCTCCAGTGTAAATTCCTCAGGTTTATATCTTAAGAGACTACAACCCCTTTCACCTCCTGGAGTCACTAAAATTGTATGAAAACAAAACAAAGCAGGATACAAAGAAATAAGGTGATGTGAGTAAAAGAGAATGATACTCAGGAAGGCTTCGTGTGCTTTTGGAAATGTGTGGGCGATTTTTACATCCCGACTGCCCACACCGTGGAAGTTGATTGGTTCTTTGGGTACCTGAAACAGAGAGAGAGAGAGAGAGTTAGTGTTGCGTGACCATAGAGACCAGGGGACAACTGCTTGAGGCCGATCACATACGACCTGTATAAACTGGTTTCTGGGATTGGTTCCGTATTAGTAAACTTACCGCCGGTTTTGGACCACCTTAGGGTAAGTCGGGATGTACAATTTTTCGGGTCGACCTTTTCTAAACCCCCCTCTCTGGAGTGAAGAGACAGCATAGCTAGCATGCTGGTCATCTGAGGGAAACACCTCACTGCTGTTACACCCCTGTTCCCTAGCAGTATGACTTCGCCGTCAGACCCCCAGAATAGTATGAGAAAGATTCTTACACTGAGCCGGTAACTGCTTTAAGTCTAATCGCTATCCGAACAACCTTCCTGGCATGGTGGGACCTGCAGGAACATTGGTTTCAGCCAGTGCAGCTTGTTGGGTCATCGCAATGTGCAATCCTGACCACTATATCAAGGTAGCAGCCATCGATGGGGACAAAGAGATAAAGCGGATTAATTTTTGTGTGATTGATTGATGGTAGCCTATGTTTTATTAGATATATCTGCGAGTTTCACTGAAAAATGGCTAACTTCTAAAGTGTTTTGTGGCTAATAATTATAGTTTTTTTTTGCGAAATTATGAACAGTGGTTAGGCTCCGTATACCTTTCTAAAATGATTTGGTTACACAAACTGTGTTTGATCCTATTACATGACCATGAGTTTCGGTAACATGATATTTGTGAAAAATATCATTTTTCATTTTTGTTGTGAAGGAGGAGCAACTTAATCGTACTGTTTAGGGTTGTGAAATGTAGATTGTTAAATTTTGAATCATTGATTAAATTGTAAGACTTCTAGGCTTAATTCTCTGTTGTGTAAGCGTTATGCTCTTGAGTGTGTATTTTGATTGGAAACTAGTCAGTAACTAGTGTGGCTTGTGTAGTCCTCTCTTTGGTGCAGACTGAATTCTGTCAGTCAGTCGGGTTTGCAATGTGACCACCATTCTAGGTAGCTCGCCATCATGGTGCACACATTGATTTGATGATATTAGGTAGTTGGAGGCAATCGGTTACAGAAAGCCTTGCTTGACCTAGGTTTCGTGCTAGTTGGCACTCGTCAACAAAGCCTATCTGCAACCTCCAAGGAACTCAGATTCAAACCAGCGTCATTCAGTGTGGTGTAGTCAAAGACATTACCACTGGACTATTCCGGGATCGTGATTGACCTACTGTAGGACTGTATTGGGTGCGTGTGTGTGTGTGTGTGACTTGAACCTTGAGCCAAACGAATATCCAATTAGTAATGAAAGCCATCTTTTTAAGGACCAGTCCTTCACAGACCATTCACCAGAATATTTATCATCTTTCTATTGTTTATTTTTTTAACACAGATCGAATTCTCGTAAGAAAGCATTATTTTTTACGGCTGGTGCTTTGGCTGGCATATATATCGGTTCAAGAATGCGTTCAGCTGTTCATTTAAGATCTTACCATGATTTGTGTAAGTTTTTTTTATTTCTAATTTTATGCTGATTATTTTCTTTAACTGTGTCATTAGTTTAATCATATACCGTTCCACTGTTCTCTAATTAATGCAAAGTAAGCACTGTCGCTTCAAAATCATTACTTACATTTAGCATTGCAACCCAACGAAGTGTTCGCTGTAGCCTAAAACAGTTTATTTGTTTCTTATGTCAGGAGATTTAAGTCTTTTTTTGATGTAGTTGTGTTCTCTGAGCTGGATAGTGAATTTGCGAAGCTTTCATCGCCCTACTAGGCGACACTTCAATTTGAAGTCAGCTTTTACATTCCTCCACGAGTAGTTTATTAGTCATCTCTCCTGGTGTCCTTGGATGTGATTAGTGGTTTTTGTGTGTTTTCACATCCTCTAGGCTACTTGTATTGGAACTGATTGTTTCTTTGACTTGAACCTTGACCCTTTGTGTATGAGATTTCCTTCATATCGATTGGTAAATTTTGTCTCTATGTCGATGTGTCTATTGATTGATGATTCACTGGAATACCAGGCTTCTAAAAATTTCCTAGCATTATTGGTGTTTCCTCTGTCTAGTATTTGAACGTTGTCCCAGTCGACTCGATGTCAGTGGTTGTAGTGATATGAGGGAGTAGATGTCATGTCTTTTGACAGCTAGCTTATGTTTATGGATTCGAAGGGTACGTCGCCTTTGGCCAATGTAGTGTTTTTCTCAATTGTTACAATTTATTTCGTATACGATGTTGGTTTTATTTTCTTTCGTTGTTGAATCTTTTGGTTGACATAGAGCTGGCTGAGTGAAGTGATTTTGTTGGTTTGTGTGAGACGTCTATTCCTGAAAGGTTTGAAGAGTCTTTCGGTGATTTCTGAGATGTTCTTTATATATGGTAGAGAGATTTTCCTTGAGCTTTCCTTGGTGGCCTTTGATCTGATCGCATAACGTAAAAATTAATATTAATTATAAAAAATTATTATTATTATTATAGGTTGGCTTGGGGGTATATGTCTTTTGATAGAATCCCGTGGATATCCATTCTTTTGGAAGACGTCTGAGATGTCTTTCTTCAATTTTCCTGAAGGTGGACGTGCTGCAATGAGTCCTTGCCCTCTTGAATAGTGTTTGTATGCAATTCCCTTTGTGCGTTATTGAATTGTTGCTGTTGTAATTCAGGATTTGGTCTGTGCGAGTTGACTTTCAACAAACTTTAGTTTCTAATCCCCTGTGGTTGTTCGCTTCACTAAGACGTCCAAAAATGGGATTTGGTTCTTGGATTCCTCCTCTCTTGTGAATTCTATGTCGTTGAAGACGTTGTTTATTAAGTTGTGAGTCTTATCCAACTCGTTTCTTTTGATTATTACAAATGTGTCGTTTACGTAGCGTATCCAAATCTTGGGTTTGATCTTTGGTAGGATTATGCTTTTGAGCCTTTGCATCACTGCTTCTGCAATCAAACCTGATATTGGCGATCCCATGGGTGTTTCTTTAACTTGTTCACATATTTAGCCGTTGAATTGGAAGTACGTTGTGAGGTATAGGTTTATGCATTCCATTCAACTTGTGTTTTAATTGTTGTGGAAGGTGTTCGTCGTTGCTGAGTAACTACTCCATGGTTTTTTTTGCTAGTTTCTGTCTAATTGAGGCATATAATGCTGTGACATCGAAGGATACCATTATTTCTTGGTCATCTATTCGAATGCCTCTGATTTTCTCTAGAAATTGGATAGTAGAATTGATGGAGTGATCTCAGGAATCCGTTAGGTGTTTCAATTTTTGGTATAGTTCTTTGGATAAGCTGTATTTTGGGGTTACTGGGAGTGAAAGCTTCGCAAATAAACGATCCAGCTCAGAGAACACAACTACATCAAAATTATCCACCTGAGATACAAATCTTCTCCATCATATCTAGATTTAAGTTGTGTCATCTTTTGTTTTCTAGGTAAGTTCGAGTTGTTTTTATGAATATAGTGGATGGGTATAAATTCAGACCCCAGTAGCAACAGAATACAAACTAAAGAAACTTCGTTACACATATTTCTCAAGTAGAGACGGTTACCTTCAGTTTCCCTATGTGTTCTTTTACTTGGCTGGAAAGGCATTGTTTCTGCTCTTCCTTTGCTATCAGGCTGAATAGTATTCACAAGCATTAATTGTGAGGAGCGGCTGATATACTCAGTTATGCAGGATCATCAACTGGTTAACGACCAGGGATCAAAGTTACACCGGGAGATGGGTCACAGTGACGGTAGTATTTATGCACAATTCCTAGTCTCTTTTCTATTTTGAATACTGCTATATTTTCTTTTCGCTGCTTTCTCATCGTTTCGTGTAATTTATTTAACTTTATTATTATTGCTCCTTTGGGTTCCTAGTGGAACATAGGGCTTCAACCGCACCTCTCCACTTGCTTCTGTCTTCTGCTGTACTTTTCACCTGCATCCATGTTAGTCCATACTGTTTCAACTCCTCACCTCTTTACACACACGATATCCTCGATGTCACCCTTCCACTGACGTCCTACTCGCCGCGTGCTTCCCTTTCGGCCTGGTTCCACTCGAAGAATGACCTGACGCGTGCGCGATGTCACCCACCGGCCTCCTCACCGAGTGTCCATCTCCATCCATCTCTACTTTCTCCTGCATATTTGTTGGTTGGCGATTGGTTCTTGTTTTGTTTAGTGTGTTCCCATAGTTTCTTGTTGATGATTGTTTCTGGGCCGGCCGTCTGATCTTCAGTATAGAGCCAGCGAAGACAGTTGGTTGTTGATAAAGGTGTGCAACAGGCTGTTGGAAATATTCTTTGTGACCCGCCCGCTAAGGTTCTGATCTGTATAGAAGAACTGACTGACTTGACGTTTGTATTGAAAATCCGAGTGAATTTTGTTGTTGATGCTGGCTGAGTGACGAAGATTTCCAGATTGGTTTGAGGTTGATGAATGAATGTGTTTCTCGCCCTTCTCCCCGATTCTCGCTCGATTTGACATCCTCGTCCGTTGTGACTGCCTGTAGTTGAGACAATGCTCCCTAGATAAGTGAGTGAACGAAGTAACCTCTTTGAATTCCCTCCCGTCGATGGTGATTGACGCTGGATGTTTCTGTTGTTGTTGGTGGTGGTGGTTCGTTGGCAATTTTCATAACCTCCGTCTTGTTCACCTATGTTCACCTGGAGTCGTGTCTTCGCCGGCTGCTTCTCCGGCTAGTTTGTCGGTTTTCGCTTGTAAGTCTTCGATTTTGTGTGTGTGACATCAAACATAAATCATCCACGCGCGGAATCAAGGTCTTCTATGTTCTTCACGTCGTCCAGGATATCCGTGTCATCTCGTTTTTCACTGTCTGACGCCTAATCCAGTCCACCACCACAATTAGGAATATCATTGGTGATAGATAATAAGCACCCTTGTCTGACTCCTGTGTTTACTCCGAACGCCTGGCTGAGTTTTTTGTTGTGGATCAGTTGACATGTGCCGTTGTTGTCGTACAGCTGTTGAATAAGGTTGATGAATATTTGAATATATATATGCCGTAGTACTCGAGTAGTTTCCAAATTACTCCGCGGTCAACGCTGTCTGTCGAAGGCCTTCTTAAAGTGTATAAAGTTGAGTTAGAGGTTTGATTGATGGCCATTCCATGCTTTGTTCTGTGATGATGATGCGTAGAGTTGGAATTTGGTCAGAACTTGATGTGCCTTTCCTGAATGCAGCCAGCTTGTTCTGTTGGGAACCTAGTGTCCAACTATTGCCGTTAGGTTTATTTTCTTCTTTTAATAAGTAGTCTTCACTACTTGGGTGTGCATGCTTTTGTGTGTGATTGGATAATCACCAGATCCATTATATCGGCCCGGTTTTTTATGCAGTCTAGAGCACCTATTTTGTTCAAGAAACTATGAATGTATTCATCAGAGGGGATTTTTAGAAGTAAAACTTCTTAAGAAATACATCATTTAAGGCCAACTAGTTTCTCACTAAATTACTTAGCGCTAAGGGCTTTATTGATTGGGTAAGCAAAGTAGTGCTTATACTCTGAGTGTTTATTGTTGTAAAGAAACCTCATGGAGAGAGAGGTGCATTCACTGATTTGATTGTCATACCTGTATAGTTACGTACATAGAAATCCTAGCAGACAATGTTATGGATATACGAGTGGAATTCAGATGTTATCGGAGATTATAATCTTTTATGTGTATGTGTGTGTGTGTCTTACTGGTTAATTACCAGTTAATGCAGTTTCAGCATTACATTAAAATTAAAATATGCCTTCCTTTCTGTTTAATACCGTTATGATTTAATATTTATTACAATTGACAGTTTATTTAGGCTAATAAAAATACCTAGTGTGTGCTAAAACGTAGGAATAGATCTTTTTTGGGAAACATTTTTTCAGGTGTTGGTTTGTAGGTATTTTGTTTGATTAGTTGGAAGATTTCATCATGAGCTGACATCAGCTAGAGAACCATTGGAAAACCAACTGGGAGTACTGGACACCTGTCTTGTCAGACTTACTTTTGGGACTCTTCATGAGTACGCACCCACCGGGATTCAAACCCGGGACCTAGGTGGGGACAGTTACTCACCGAAAACATTGCGAATTGGTCGCACTATTTCGTGCGTGAATTGGCAGAAGTTGGAATTCATGGGTCTGCCATTGGATCAGGTCCCAGTGGCTGAATGGTTTACTAGCTAGCTCGCCTTGTAAACAGGTCCTGAGTTCGAGCCCTGGCGGTGGGGGCGTACTGCTGAAGAGCCTCAAACTAGTCCGATGAAACAGCTGTCCCGTGCTCCTTGTTGGTTTTCCGATATTTCTCTAACTGATGTCAGCTCATGATGAAATCCTCCAACCAATGGAACATTTTTTGTAAAATCGACTTTTAATGTTAACCACCAAGTACTGCAGTGGTTGGTACATTGTTTATATCACAAACTTTATCATGATGTTTCACGACTGGTGTTAAGGAACCGACAGTCTTGTTGGCTATCATGTGATGACCGAACATTGGCGTGATGAAAAACTTA